GAACAGTTATACATTTATAGAAAAATTGAGAAGATAATCCAGAGAGTTTTTATATACTCTGCACCCAGTTTCCCCTATTATTAACATTTTATATTAGTATGATACATTTGTAACAGTTGATGAAGAATAGATTCTTCGTTATTGTTAATCTAAAAGTCCATGCTTTATTCAGGTTTCCTTAGTTTTACCTAATGACCTTTTTCTGTTTCAAGGATCATATCTCAGATATCTGTATAGTTTATCCTTTTAACGGATATGGGGTGAGTGGGAAGGTACATGTAGTCCCCAACTTACCACGTGGTTCTCTTCTGACAACTCCGTCTTAAGTCGGTTCTTATGTAAGTCGAATACGTCTTTTTTTTTCTTTTAGCTTTCATAATTATTGCCTTTTATTATCAGTATCTTTATAAGTCTGATCTTTATTTGCCTTTAGGGTCTGGAAGTATTACATATAAACTTACAGATGTATTTGAATACATTGTTATTGTTTGGTGCCATTAAGTTGCTTCTGACTCATAGTGACCCTGTGTACAACAGAACGAAGCACTGCCTGGTCCTGTGCCATCGTCACAGTCGTTGCTATGTTTGAGCCCATTGTTGGAGCCACTGTGTCAGTCCATCTCATTGAGGGTCTTCTTTTTAGCTGACCTTCTACTTTACGAAGCGTGATATGCTTCTCCAGGGACTGGTACCTCCTGGTAACACATCCAAAGTATATGAGACAAAATCTTGCCATCCTCCTTTCTAAGGAGCATTCTGGTTGTACTTCTTCCAGGACAGATTTGTTCGTTCTTCAGCAGTGCATGGTATATTCAGTGTTTTTCCCCAATACCATAATTCAAATGAGTTAATTCTTTGGTCTTCCTTATTCATTGTCCAGCTTTCACATGCAAATGAGGTGATTAAAAATACCATGGCTTGGGTCAGGCACACCTTAGTCCTCAGAGTGACATCTTTGCTTTTTAACACTTTAAAGAGGTCTTTTGCAGCAGATCTGCCCAGTGCAATATGTCCATTTGATTTCTTGACTGCTGCTTCTGTGGGTGTTGATTGCGGATCCAAGAAAAATGAAATCCTTGACAACTTAAATTTTTTCTGTTCTTATCATGATGGTGCTTATTGGTCCAGTTATGAGAATTTCTGTCATCTTTATATTGAGTTGTAATCCATACTGAAGGCTGTAGTCTTTGATTTTTATCAGTAAGTGCTTCAAGTCTTCTTAGCTTTCAGCAAGCAAGGTTGTGTCATCTGCATGTTGCAGGTTGTTAATGAGTCTTCCTCCAATCCTTATGCCACATTCTTCTTCATAAAGTCCACCCTCTCAGATTATTTGCTCCTCAGCATACAGATTGAATAAGCATGGTGAAAGGATACAACCCCAGTGAACACCGTTCCTGATTTTAAACCGTGTAGTATCCCGTCTCAGAATACATAAAGGCCACACTTGGAATAAACATTTGTTTGTTGAGATCTTTTTCTGTCAAATAATATCTAGATTTTGTTTTTTAGCCTAGTTAGATCTTCTTTCAGAGTGTGTACATGATGCAGCTATAAAATAAGATTGATTTATTTGCATGGAAATGAATCTCATTAGTGAATTGATTGAGAATTTCAAGATGCTGGATAAGTAATAGTGGGGTGATGGGGGAATCACAATGAAAATTCTTAAGAGTATTTTGTTAGCTGGAACACCATTTTTGGATCATGAGTAGGTAATACAGTTTCTGACGTGTTCAGGGGTTGTGAGTGTGGTTTTTAATTGGCAAGAGTAGTGTTTTAATAGTTTGGTTTGTTTTTTGTTTTAATAAATGGAAACTGATTTGAAAGTGTTAGAAAGCTTCTTAACAGATGATATAGAGGAAGTGTAAAATTATTTCTTTTTTATCTAAAGGTGAAGTGGATCCTAAAGAAAGGATAGCACGCCAACGAAAACTATTACAGAAGAAACTTGGCCTTAATATGGGAGAAGCAATTGGAATGAGTACTGAAGAACTATTCAATGATGAAGATTTGGATTATACCCCAGCTGCAGCAGCCCTTGTGAACAAACAACCTGTAGGTAAAACCTTTGGTTATTTGATTGCAAGTTAATAGTACAGAGACTTGCTTCATTTTGCTTATGCAATTGCAATTTTTTTTTTTTTTTAATTCTGCTTGTTGCTAGTGTGTGCCACCATAATTAAATGCCTTTGTAAAATGCATCTTTGGTGACAGATTCTACAGAACGGAAATTTAATCTACTTCCTGGACACTGGGCTGTTAAATAAAAACTGTGGTGGACCCTTTAGGAGCCACTGGTATTGAGAGACACTAGTTGGACTAATTGCTCTTTCCTTTGTTCTTTGGTGAAGGGGGAAAAAAAAAGTAAATTCTTGGGAGAGTGGGCGGTAGTAAGGGCTGCTATTTTCATTTTGGGAGCTTGCTGAAGCCATCGTGGATTGCCTCTTTATGTGATTTAATATTGACTGTTGTCTCTGAGCTATCAATAAGTTATTATATTTATTTATTTTATGTTTGCTTACTGTGTCATAGCTTCTTGTTTTGTTTTGATATGCCCAAATAGGCTGCCCGTATGAGCTAGTTTGATTATTGGCACCTTTGAAGCTCTAATGTCCTGTCACCGGTTGGTTCGATCTGTTACTAGGTATGTGAGCTCAGGAGTCCACTCCTCCTGTATGGATTCAGCTCAGGTGCCCAGGTAGATAGCCACCAAGTGTGTGGGGTAGGCTCTCACTTACAGTCCTAGACAGGCATGGGTGATTGGTGTAGGCACAGGCATCTGGCTGCAGCAGCGGGACACCCTCTGAGCAAGGCAGGGGGCTGACAGCCTCCCCCGAGTGTCCAGGAGGAAGGCGTGTCCCTGTTCCCTAGAGCACATGGGTGGGTTTTGCAGCCGGACTATGAGCACCTAATGCTGTTGGCTGTAAGGACTGGGGGGCCCCTCTTATTCATGGGCCCCTGTCACAGGTGGCTAGGTGGTATGGGTGGAGCCACCAGTCCTCAGGCCCTTGATGTGGGTAGGTGAAGACCCTGCTTAATGGGCAGAGCAGTGTCAAATGTCAAGAACCTGCCACTTCACAGCTGAAACAGTTGAAGTTAAACTTCTGGTATATACCCTGTTGTACTGCGGTAATGAGGGCGTACACTGTTGAAATGGGCCCACACAAGTCTCTGCAGGGGTAAAGGCACTCAAAGTCCATGGATCCCTTATGCCAGTGCCTAGGCAAAGGAGCTGTGCCTACCCTGGCTTCCTGGCTTAGGGGAACTGGCAGTTTATTTTTTCCTGTTTGTTAATTTGTTCACTCTCCAAGACAGGGAAAATGGCTCCGGGCATGTGACAGATCCTACTTCCGGCCCAGGGGACTCAGCAATTGCTGACGCCGGTCCAGGACCTAGTGCATGGCAGGGAGCGGGGAGGTAAATGGGAGAGAGGTTTTTCCCTAAGGGTGGTGTGTTTGATCCGCGTGGTAGGCCGGACACAAGCACTTATCTTTCACCTATGAGGGCTACTTCTCACTGGTTCTGGGTGACCATGTAGACTCTCTGGCTCTGGGTCTCTCCCAGTGCGGAAAACACACCTCCTGAGGACTGCCGCTTGCCTTCCTCACTGCTCACCCACGAGCTGGTCAGGCCTAGGGGGCTCAGGCTCTCGCCAGGTCAGGTCTGGCACCTCTTCACTGCTTCTGAACCGTCTCACTTCTCCCCTGTCACTCAGTCCAGTTCCTCAACTCTGCCTTTGATGTTCAGGACTCCCAGATTGTCATATATAATCGAATCACTTATTTTCTCGGGTCTTTGTTGTAAGAGGGTCAACCGGAAGCGTTTGACTACTCCACCATCTTGGCCCTGCCCCAGGGCTATTATTTGCAGATAACGATGATACTAGAAGTCTTTAGGGCTGTTTTTTAAATTTTAATTGAGAAAGTAATAAGCATGATTTTTAAAAATTTCAAATACAAAATGAAGTAATAAGAAATTTGTTTCCAGTAATCGATGGATGTACATGTACCCACTGGCAATTCTTTTTAAGTTACTTGTGCATCATTCATGAAATTTTCTATGTATATACAAGTTTATGTGCATCGTTTTAAGCCAGGTTCACCTCCTCCTTCTTAATATAGCTTAATTCGTGAGTATATACAGATTGATCATGTTCTTTTTTGACAGTTTCATGCTTTTCTGCTGTATGGCTATATCATAATTTTACTCCTTTCTCTTCCTTTCCTAATTTTCTGATTCCCAATGGATTCTCATGTGCTGCTTAACTTTTTTTCATGCCACAGACTCTTTTAAAGTTCAAATAAAAGCTGTGAGTCTCTCCTCAGAAAAGTGCACATACAAGTGAAGTCTTACATTTCGAGTGATTCAGTACTCTTCCCCCTTGTCCTGCAATCCTTTTAGGGGCCCATGGACCCCATTAAGAATTCCTGCACTTTTTATTCCCTTGGCCTTTCCTTTGCTTAAGTGGAGAATGGTTCTGTTTTTCTTTTTATTAGTTGTCTTCTAAACCAGTAGAATTTGTAAAGAATGTTTTTTAGGACTGAGAGTGTGTGTGATGATGAATAACTTCAGCAGATGGGAAATAAATGGCAGATAAGTGAGGGGAAAAAGGAAGAGAATTTAAAGAGATAGAAAATATAATGGCAACCAGGAAAGAGAGGAAGGAGATGAGTTAAAAAGGGAAGAAGAATAAGATATAAATGAAAAAATAAAGAGAAAAATAGAAGAAAATAAAAGAGAACTGAAAAATGCCGTAATATGATCACAGCATGGGACATGTTGTGAGAAAATGAATGAGAGGTGTATTAGAAAAAGAGAGCTTCAGACATCAGAATAGTTGGATATATGCAATGAACAATAGCCAGTGGGGGTTTGCAAGACTAAGGTTTGGTTGGTCTTATATGTTATGGACCTTTGAGAGGGAGTTGCATAATGTTAGTTGTTGTCATAGGTTCATCTCAGCTGCACTGCCATGTATAAATGCCAGTGGTTCCCGGACCAGGTTTGTAGCACGGCATCCACACCAGTGACCTCAGTGATTCCAGGAGTATAAATTTTAGTTGAACCTTACAGTTAGGCACAGAAAAGATTTTTAGGCTTGGGCTCAAAGCCTTTCTTACCACACAGCCACAGCCTTTATAGTGCCTCCCATGAGTGGAAAAGAGAGTAAAAGGAGTAGGCCTGGTTGACAGCAACAGGGCATATGGGCTAAGTGACTACAGGATTCTGGACCAATCACTTACAGTTATAATCTAAAATTATTTTTCAACAGATGATGATCATCACCAGTTTCTTTTATTGACATTCTTTATTCTTGTAACTTTCAGTGATACTGTGGTTATTTTGAAGTTTCACCTCCGGAAAGCTTCCTCTGTGGGTCAGGATTGTGAAATTTATAGACTTAGTCATCTTTTAAGGCTGAGACTATGAATTTTTATTTTTACTTCAAATGTTCAGACTCAGTATTCTTTTATTCTTTTAGACTCTTCAGGCAGCTGAATTGATTGACTCAGAATTTCGAGCAGGAATGAGCAATAGACAAAAGAACAAAGCTAAAAGAATGGCCAAGTTATTTGCAAAACAGAGATCCAGGGATACAGTGGAAACTAATGAGAAGAGGTAGCAATCTTTTTCTGCTTATTCATTTAAAACAATAATGCTGTGTAGCTTAAATCTGTGTCTGCTTTAATTTATAAAACACATTTTGCTGACATTCTTTTTAGTTGTGGAATACCATTTAGATTTTCTTCCTCAATTGTGAGGGAAACTTATTTACTATTACTAGGGACTAGAACCTTTTCCTCAGAAAAATCCATATATGCAGATTTTTTTCTCTTACTAATCATCAGTTCTGAATGAGGGCTGAAGATCTTCAAAGGGGAGAGTGATCCAGACAGAGGAAACATGTAAATGCCTTCATCATGGAATATTCAAGAAAGAGAAGGAAGGGCATTATTGGTGGAATGAGTGGACAGAAGGGAGAATAGTAGAGAATGAGTTCAGAGAGGTGGTCTGGGGCCTCAAGTTAAGAACACTGCATTAGTATAGCGGAAACTATTGTCATAGTGTTACATCACCTATTTCCTAGGCCAAGTGCTATACCGCATAGCAGGTAATAATCCAGACTTGCTTACCTTCTATTGTAGGAAAGAATTATGTGGATAAAATAAATAAGTAAAAGTAATATCTGTGCATGGCTTGGAGCAGTGTTTCTCAAAGAGTGGTTCAAAATTACTTGCTTCAGAAGCACTTTGAGGGCTTTTTTAAAAAAGCGTATTTGTGGGCCCCACTCAGATGTATTAAATCAGAATCTTTAGTGGTGTTCAAGAAATATTTGCATAAATGACAACTTAATAAACACTAGAAAGCCTATGAAAATAGGATTTTGCTGCAGATGACAAAACTTTTTGCTTTCCTTTTCATTCATATAAAGCTAAAAAGTGATTGGCGTGTTCATTTAAAAGCAAGGCACAAAGGGGGATAGGTAAAAATATACATCTACTTGGTAGAAATTTTTACTTGGGAGTTAAGTTTTTTTAAAGTATAAACTCTTTATTGAGCTTGTTAACTACAAGGATTTTTTAAGTCAGCAGCTTTTTAGGATCATATAGTAACCTAATAAGTGCTTCTACTGGCTTCTATTCACGTATTTTATTTTTCAGAAGTCATAATTCTTTCACTCCACAAACAAACATTTATTGAAAGTCTTCTGTGTGCCAGACACTGTTCTAAGGCCTTGGGGATACAGTAGTGAATAAAATAGAGAACAATTCCTGCCTTTTGGGAGCTTACATTCTAGAGGGAAAGATAGATAAGGAACAAGGTAAGTTAGTAAAATATAACTAACTAGATAGTAGACAAGAATTATCCTAGGTGAAGAGAAGGACAGCACACGCTACAGGGGAAGTCAGCACAACTGAATTAAACCAAAGCTAAGAAGTTTCCTGAATATAATCCAACACTTTGAGGGACAGAGTAGCAGGGGTAGGGGTCTGGGGACCATGCTTTCAGGGGACATCTAGGTCAATTGGCATAACAAAGTTTATTAAGAAAATGTTCTGCATCCTACTTTGGTGAGTGGTGTCTAGGGTCTTAAAAGCTTGCAAGCAGCCATCTAAGATGCATCAATTGGTCCCAACCACCTGGAGTAAAGGAGAATGAAGAACACCAAAGACACAAGGAAAGTAGTAGCCCAAGAGACAGACAGGGCCGCATAAACCAGAGACTTCATCAGCCTGAGACCAGAAGAACTAGATGGTGCCCGGCTACCACCAGTGACTGCGCTGACAGGGAACACAGCAGAGAGTCCCTGATGGAGCAGGAGAAGAGTGGGGTGCAGAACTCAAATTCTACTAAAAAGACCAGACTTAATGGTTTGATTGAGACCGGAGGGACCCTGGAAGAGACGGCCCCTGGATTCTCTGTTAGTCCAAAACCGAACCATTCCCAAGGCCAACTCTTCAGACAAAGATTAGACTGGACTATGGGACATAAAATGATACTTGTGAAGAGTGTGCTTCTTAGCTCAAGTAGATAACATGAGACTAAATGGGCAGTGCCTGTCTAGAGGTGAGATGAGAAGGCAGGGAGGGTCAGGAGCTGGTTGAGTAGACACAGGAAGTCGGGTGGAAAGCAGGAGTGTGCTGTCACAGTATAGGGAGAGCAACTAGGGTCACATAACAATGTATATATAAATTTTTGTACGAGAGACTAACTCGAATTTGTAAACTTTCACTTGAACAATTTAAAAAAAGTTAGTAAAATATATAGTATTTAATGATAAGGGCTAAGCAGAAAGAAAATAAAAGCAAGAAAGGAACATATGAAATGTTTTATGGGGAGAAGGTTTGAAATTTTAGACAGGATGATGAGCAGGGCACTTCATAGAAGTGACTTTTGAGTAAAGATCTGAAACAAATAAGGATGCTAGCGATGTGATAATCTGGGAAAAGAACGTTCCAAACAGAATAGCAAGGGCAAGTGCCTGGAGGTGGAAACATGCCTAACAAGTTCAAGGACAGTAAGATGACTGATTAGTACGGCTAGATAATAGAGAATTGGGGAAAAGTAATAGAGAATGAGATTAGGGAGGCTCAGATTTCTTTCATCATCTTATAGCAAAAATAATTGGTCAGATAAATCACACAGTTGATGTGGAGTGAGGGAGGAATATTTACAGAAAATAATGCTGTTTTTGCCTGAAAATTTGCTAATTGTTCCTTCTTGCTAATACTGAAGAAAGGTGGTTTTGCTTGTTCTCACCTTTGTAATATTTTGCAATTAGGCTAGGCTTGATATTTTTGGTCTTTTTAAAGTCATAACATTTCCTTAAATTTTTTGTACACAGTTTTCATTGATCAGTTGTCTTATTTCCATATTTTTCAAGAATTAGTAAGACTATAGTATGTTACTCAGTGTATTAGTTTTCTCCAGAGTACCAAAAGCCTTAAAAAGTTAGTGTTAAGCTGAGTCAGTTTTAGGTTGTTGGACTAATGGAGTTTAAAATAAAAAGAAGGGGAGCCAGTTGTAACCAGGGAGAAAAAAACGAGCATTGTTAAATTTAAGATCCAATTTGAAAGCAAGAATTTACTAACCTATTTTGTATTCAACAACCGGAGCAGTAGGATATTTTTTGCTCAAAAAAAATTTAAGTAGTTAATCTTAGATATTTGGTACATGAAATTTTAAGTAAACCATACAAGCAGAATATGGTTAAACATTTGTTCAAATGCTGGATTCTCTTATATTCATTGTGGTTCACATTATCCTTTATTCACTTTTTAAATGATGACTTTTGTTTTTTAGCAATGATAGCACTGACGGAGAGCCAGAAGAAAAGAGACGGAAAATAGCAAATGTTGTTATTAATCAGTCTGCAAATGATTCCAAAGTCTTGATTGATAATATTTCAGACAGCTCTTCCTTAATTGAAGAGGTACTATTAAAATGTCCTGAAGTGTCCACTGTAATTATTTTAATTTTTTCTAACTAATGTTTCAGTAGACAGTATTTGGATATCTTGCAGTTGAGAAATTTTATTAGTAAAAATCTTATCTTGTAAGTATCTTTACTTATTTAATTAGTAAAAATCTTAATTATTTAAAGTTTTTAAAGCCTGACTACTATTACTGGAAGATCCCTAGGTGGTACAAATGGTTTGTACTCAACTGCTAGCCGAAGGTTGGCAGTTTGAAACCACCCATCAGTACCACAGAAGAAGAGGCTGGCAATCTGCTTCCATTAAGTTTTGTTGTTGTTAGTTGTCATCAAGTCGATTTTGACTTAAGACGACCCACATGTACAGAGTAGAACTGCTGCATGGGGTTTTCAAGGCTGTGACCTTTCGGAAGCAGATTGCCAGGCCTACCTTCCCAGAGTGCCCCTGGGTCGATTTGAACTGCCGACCTTTTGGCTAGTAGTCAAGCACTTAGCTGTTTGTGCCACCTAGGGACTCCACATCGAAGAAAACCTATGAAGCAGTTCTACTCTGTAAAAAATGTTTCAGAATCGATTCAACGGCATCAGACAGTAACAACTGTTACTAGACCTATAAATAAACATATTTTGTTAAATTGCTTAAATTATTAGCATAAAATAGACCTTTTGAACTCGTAGTAATTCCGTTTTTCTTATTCAGACAAATGAATGGCCTTTGGAAAGCTTTTGCGAAGAACTTTGTAATGATCTTTTTAATCCATCCTGGGAGGTAAGATTTCTTCATTACAATTTCTCTCAGCTCTATTTTCTATGCCAATGAAGGGAACAATGACAAGAACAGTCTACTTCGTTGTGATCCCTATTCTCCCATGTCGTTTTCAGTATTCATTGGTCAGGGCACTTCATATCATTCATTTTCTGTGTAGAAAATTTTAGACTAATTTTCACGTTTCATATCCTTTTTATCATTTATTTAGTGAATTGTTAATTTTTGTTTGTTTAGCTATAATTTAAAGTTTCTAGGCTTGCATATCTCTCCCAGATGGTAGAAATTGCCTTCATTTCCTTTGGAAGTAGACAGTTTTTATTGATCAAGAGCAGTAGTTTTCAAATTATCTTTTTAGCCTCAGAAATATTTCTTCAAAGAAATCTTGAACAGGTCCCAGTATGTAAAAGAGATGAAAGTGAATTACTTTTCATTTAAGTTGAGGGTTGGTGATCTAAAGCCATTTTATCCCCCTTCTGTTGGGCCTTGTGTAATTTAAAACTCCTTTGGAATACTTTTTCGCAGTCTTTCTATTCCTTGATGTACTTCTATTTAAAGCTATTCAAGTCTTATCTCAGATTGAGTCTTGAATAATTGAGTGTAGGGTTACTGACCTGTTTTCCTCCCTTTTAGATGATACTTCAGAAAGTATCCTCTCTATCTAAGGAAGGCAGTTTATCCCAGAACTACAGTGAAGCATTAGTCACACGAGATTTTGTTTTGATTGTCTTCCTTTGGTGGTTACCACTAGGAGCTTTGGGGCTTAGTTTTGATGCATATATTTCTAAAATATTGGTGTTGGAGGCTCTGAAGAGCAATGTATGTTTTACATTCCTTCCTCTCCTTTGCCGTGGGTAATGGTGAGTGCAAGGTAGAGAGTAAAGTAGTGACAGCAATGTGGATTTATATCTCAAAAGGATTTTAGAATAGCTATTTTCTTAGCTATTTTTAAAAATTCCACATAACCCAAAAAAGTTTTGAAATTAATATATGTATTTCTTCTTGGGTAGTAAAAGAAAAACACATTCTTGTAAAGTACCCCTTAGTTTATTCTAATTTCTTAAAAATGCAGTATCGTTTTTCATATTGGAGAAAAGTTAAACTCAATTTTTTAAGCATTTAACCTCTGACATTAGCTTCTCGATGCTTGCACTTTTAGGTTCGACATGGTGCAGGCACTGGACTTAGGGAAATCCTTAAAGCTCATGGGAAAAGTGGTGGTAAAATCGGAGACAGCACTTTAGAAGAGGTAAGTGTTTTAAGGCAACAATTATCACCAGGTTTCCATAGTTGGCCTCTTTTTCCAGGATAAGAAAGCTAAAGAGTATGTGCCATGAAGTAGGAATGGCGATAAAGAAGAGGAAGAAATACAGAAAGGTGAATAAGAGAGAAAAAATAAGAAAGATAGGAGGAAGTCTATAGACAGGAAGAATGGATTAAGGGCAAAGACGTGTTCAGAAACAGAGTAGCAAAACATAGTATGTAGAAGCAAGGGTATTTGAGCAGGATATAATGGATTAGAAGGTAGAGTGAGAGGAATAAGATGAGATAAGAGGATAGTTGAGAGGTCAGTGAGGAGCATGATTGATGTGGCATGGAGAGACAACTGGTAAGTAACAAATATAATAGTACCCTTAAGTAATTAGTTTCTTAATTTCTCTTAGAGTACAATAACGTAGTAAAATTCATGAATTTTAATATACTATATTTGAATCAAATTTATCATCAAAGAGAATATGGTTAATATTAAGAATATTAATTGGGACTGTTTTGTTTTTATAGCTAAAATAATCTGTCCCTGCATTTTTTGGGGGGGAGGATCTAAGGTGTCCACATTTCTCTCCTCCTCCCCCATACAAAGTGTTATCTTTGTTATTAAAAAATGACTATGTTTTAACAGATGATTCAGCAGCATCAAGAGTGGTTGGAAGACTTGGTTATTAGACTTCTTTGTGTTTTTGCGTTAGACAGATTTGGAGACTTTGTTTCTGATGAAGTAAGTATCACCTAAGGGAGGCTTTGCCCTGTCAAATTTCGGATTCTACAAGATGAATTTGTTTGCAAATACAAGTTTTCTTCCCTTATCATTTGTAGGTTGTGGCACCAGTTCGTGAAACTTGTGCTCAGACATTAGGTGTGGTGTTAAAACACATGAATGAAACAGGCGTTCATAAGACTGTGGATGTGCTGCTTAAATTACTTACACAAGAACAATGGGAAGTTAGACATGGTGGTCTGCTGGGAATAAAATATGCTTTGGCAGTTCGTCAGGTAAACACTTTGGTTTTTGAAGCATTTGTAGGAAAGTTTTTTTCCTCTGTTACTTTATTTTCATTACTTTGGCTATCTGAAACGACCCCAGATTCTTAGTGTTACAGATAAGCCAGTCCTTCAAGATTTGGGCCTCTTGAGGCAGTGTCATAGAGATAGGTGGTACTAATAAGAATTTAAGTACATATCATAAGCTGGTTAGGTACATTGTTTACTCTTTAAGGTCAAGGATTATTTTCCCTCTTTAATCCATTGCTGCAGTTAATTCAGAGCTTATCATTACTTGGCTTAACTCTTTTAACTCATTTAAATATTAAATACTCTGAGCACTGCAAGACACCCTGCTGAGTGATGCAGGATACATACTTACGTAAGTGTATAAGCAGGCAATCTATATGGTCATGTAGTTTTTCATGTTGACTGTCAATGTTTTCTTATGTGATCCTTTATACCAAGTCTTCTAAGAAGAAAATGCAGGTAGTATTACCATTTTAATATAGGGAAACAAGTTCTGAAAAGTTAGATGCCTTGCTCAAGATCACAAGACTTGTTACAGGTAGAACCAGAACTAGAATTAGATAGTGTCTTCTAGTCCAGTGTTTTTTGTATTGTCATACTTCATCCAGGATAAAATACATACATATATACGGAATCTCCTGTTTATAAGCACTTTTGCTCTCTTAGTAGGTTATTGAGAACTCTGATATGCTATTTCTCATCTTACGGTTAGGAGGTCGGTTACTAGATTGGTCCACAAAAGCCTACTTCATTTATAATGTGTCTGAAGTATATACATAATGTGTCACTGTACTTTAGTACAACATAATCTAGTTACACACATAACATTGTTTTTGTGGAAATATTAGTTGAGAATTCCAGTGTGAAATGCCAGTAAAACATCTCTCCCCTTATCTCTACTTGCCCAGTGTCTTAGTTATCTAGTGCTGCTGTAACAGAAATACCACAAATGAGTGGCTTTAACGAACAGAAATTTTTTTCTCACAGTTTCCTGTCCAGGGTCCTGTTACCGTCGAGTTGATTCCAACTCATAGCAACCTTATAGGGCAGAGTAGAACTCCATAGGGTTTCCAAGGAGTGACTGGTGAATTTGAACAGCTGACCTTTTTGTTAGCAGTTGTAGCTCTTAACCACTGTGCTACCAGGGCTCCTCTCACAGCTGGAAGTCGGAGTTCATGGCACTCTCTCTGTTGGCTTTAGAGGAAGGTCTTTCTCTCTTTTCAGCTTCTGTTCCTGGTTCCTTGGCGATCTTCATGTGGTGTTGTATCTGTCTTCTCCCATCTGTGTTTGCTTGCTTCTGTGCCTGATCTGCTCTTTTATATCTCAGAAGTAATTGGTTTAGACAGCACACTATACTAATAACACAAAAAAACAAACCCATTGCCGTCAAGTCGATTCTGGCTCATAGCGACCCTACAGGACAGAGTAGAACTGCCCCGTAGGGTTTCCAAGGAGTGGCTGGTGGATTTCAACCGCCGACCTTTTGGTTAGCAGCTGTAGGTCTTAACCAGTGTGCCACCAGGGCTCCCAAATGGGATTACATCCACAGATGCAAGGGTTAGGATACCAACACATATTTTGGGGGGACACAATTCAATCTGTAATACCCACCGTAGAGTTGGTTTCAGAATTAGGGACTTCCACTATCCTGAGCAGTTGATTTGACCTAGAGATGATGATACTAGAAGAGTGTGCGTGTTGAGGGGAAAGAAGAGGTGTGGAAATAAAAGGAATGAGGAATTAGAGAACAGGACCTTTTATTAGTTAACTCTCCTGACTACTTCCCAGCCTGGGCTAGTACCCTGTCAGGGCCTTAGGGATTGGCGTACCCGTTTCTGGAATCTCCTTTCCTATTCCTAAAGGCAGGTTCATAGGCCTTTCGAAGTTTTCTGAAGTTGCCCCCCCCCCTTTTTTTTTTAACTGCCAGCAACAAAACCTTATCTTCTGATTCTGCTCATAGACTTGAGGTCTTTCTCCAACTCTTTTCCCCCGTGCTTCCTTCCTTGTTTCAGCTGACTCTTAGCCCCTTTTCTCCTTGACAACCCTCCTTCCCACATAAATGCACCCATCTTATCTCTATCTCCTGCTAGCCTCTGTAGAGAACTGCAGAATTACATGCAAGTGGTAAATGCATTATTGGTTTTTGAAAAGCTATCTCTATTTCATAACAAGACCAATTTTCAGTGAAATTCCTAGTATCTGATCACAGGAGTAACCTCTTAGGACTTAACTGTGTTAGGGGGAATGCAGAGAGAGGAGATTGGAATAATGAGAAGCAGGAAGGAATGGCTTTCCCTTCTCTCTTGTCTCATACCCTCTTTTGATTGCCAGTGACATTGAAAAAGAATCAGAAATGGAAGCAAAGTTTCTAACACAAAGGTATATGTATGTGTATGTATTTACACAGAGAATTCTAGTTGCTTTTTATATTACCTAGAAAACGTGTTTTGGTGTTTTAAGTCACATTGAATAATACCATTCACTTGCACTTACATAGCACTTGTTACCATTGTAGACTTTTAAAGGTGGGATTTGTTAATATTGATATTTTTCTGTTTATGTGATTCATTTATTTTGCACAAATACTGGATTTTATGCTTTCATATGGCAAATTTGGTAAAAATATTTAAGCACAGTAATTGTACAACAGGAAATTAATCTATTTTGATGTACTGTTTTACAGGACGTAATTAATACTTTATTGCCTAAAGTTTTAACTAGAATAATTGAAGGACTCCAGGACCTTGATGATGATGTCAGAGCTGTTGCAGCAGCATCATTAGTGCCTGTGGTAGAAAGTCTTGTCTGTCTTCAGACACAAAAGGTAAAGTAAATTTCCTATAGAGCTTGTTCATATTTGGGGTATAGAGTATTAGGAAAAACATTGAGTTCCTTTTTCTCCTTCATCCTCAATTTTTTTGTGACAGACATCCCTCTGATGCATGTAGTCTCGATTATATCTTGTCCTGGGGAAGAATGAACTATGTTTGCGTTAATCTATTTCCCCTTTGTGTACAGAATACATAGATGACTTCCTTGAGAAGAAAGCAACCATTTCTCCTTTATTTCACTCTTGGTTTTTAGACATACACGATTTTAGTTTGTTTTGATTTTGGTTTTAGCTTTCGGTTTTTTAGTCTGGTCTCTTTTTTTTTTTTTTTCCAAGAAGCAAACAGAAATTTCATTTTATTGTTAAGAGCTAAAACCATATTAATTACACAAGAACATTCTTTAACTTGCCATTTATGAAGTAGAGATACAAATGAAACTGGTGGATATGAAATTGTTCCAATTTTAATGTATACTTAAAGGTAGGAATAGAAAATAAACTCAGCGGAAGAATTCATCTATATCATCTACTCCAGGCTTGAGTGTAGCAAGGTAAAAACATCAGGAAAAAAAAGAGTCACCATCTCTTACCCAATTCCTCCACCCACCTGGTATTAATCATAGTTTTGCAGTTGGTTTATTTTGTGGCTTTCCTTCTAGTATTTATTGTACACACAGCACCTGACCACACAGGTCAAAAAGTTTTATGAGTGTTTTGTTAATAAAAGTCCCCTTGCACTTTACGGTTGCATTTAGTTTGGCATAAACACATGGCCCAATATACAGCAGTATAAATGAAGAATGAGTGGAAGTTACTCATAAATTAATGGTTTTGGCTTTGCTTAGTTAATCTTGGAATGAATCAGTTGCTAACTATAATTCATGAGGAACAAGTTTCGGAAAAAAGTGCGGTTAAGAGAACCTTTAAAAAGGAAGAATGAACTTTTTAAAGAGATTAGCACTTACTTTTTTTTAATCTTTGTTCACCTTATTACATTTATCTTTAACTGGCTCCTCTGTAGTGAGAATATATATATATTT